TGCTGTGCATTAAATAACACGGATGCAATCTATTTGCAAGTGTGCCCTGCCACCTAAAGTACAGCAGAAGGCAGAAGGCAGGGGAAAGCAACACACTATGAGGTCACATTATTTTTCACCAAGTTGCATAGCTTATGCCTTATGTGTCTTAAGAATGTAGTAATTAACCCTCGGCGCGCATGTGCAGCGAGGGTTACAGTAGTTGGTTTGTCTGTGTGTGTGTGTGTCGACGCTTATTCTGGCACTACAGGCTACGAGGCGGCCAATTAGTGATACCAGCAGCTTCTGAACTACACGAGCCTGAAAAAGAAAAGGGCGTTTTTCCTGAAACGACTGTGTTCAAGAGATATGCCGTGAAAACAAGCCAAAAAGCCAATAATGCATAATCGCATTAGGCTTAGTGCGACCTGATCCGCTCGCTCTGTGTACCCGAGGCTCAGGAAGTCACAACGAATGGACTCCTGCATGCTATCTACTACCGTAGCTAGCCCGTGTCAGACTCTCTGTGCGCTACTAGCGGGAGACCACGAGTAAACGCATACTACTACTAATAGGCCAGCCCATCAATTAGCAGTATTGCACATGCGCAATTCGCCGAGGGTTTGCACTATAGTGCTTTTCATTGATGTAGGCAAAAAACACTACACGAATTTAACACCCATACATGTATACCACAAGTTTTTGTTTTTGTGTGAATGCATGTTACAAATACCTAACACTGTTTGAAGTAGGACAATTTACTGTCTTCTGTTACAACAGTAGATTCTCTGACCAACTATGAGTATACTTAGAGTTTACTCACTGTCAAACTCCTGTGGGTTTACTGTTGGGTATACTCTCTGTGCACAATAATGCTTAGTTTACCGAGCCAAGTAAATGCTAAGGGCTGCTTCTTACTAGATTACTGATGATTTACCCAGTGATAAACGTAACAGCAAATTTAAATGTGAGTGATACACATGTAAGTATAACAACTGAATTGCAAAAGCTACATATTATTTCAGTTCAGTAAGTTCGCTCAAAACTTCATTAGCAGGTGGCCTTGTGAGATATTTAACTGATCTGCATCTGCTGGCAATTGAATGTAAAACTGATGAATGATCAACTTTATCATGTGTCTTATCAAGAATGGCAAGCAGCACTCCACCTACAGAGAACATGTCACTGTTCTTAGTTTGACAAGTAACACCCTGAATAACCTCTGGTGCCATATGTGTATAAAGCCTGGTATATTCTGCTATCTCAACAGGTGACAGGGAGTATTTGTAGGCACAATCAATAGTGCATGCTTTTCCAAAATCAACGATTAGGGCTTGAAATTGAACTAGAGGCGATGATCTAGAAGAATTCTTAAAAGAGTCACAAATGATGATGTTATCACATTTAAAGTCATTGTGTAACACATTGGCATCCTCGTGTAAATAGCGCACACCTTCAATAACTTGGACGATCAGTATAAACCAATCATCTCGAGGTTGTTTATCATACAAAGCAGAGGAAAATGTAAAAGATATTGAATGCTGACTCAAACCATGATATTGCATTACAATGGAATATGGGCGGCTCCTTAAACAGACGCCAAACAGGTACGGTACGTGGGGATGACCGAATTGTGCAAGGATTGAAGCTTCACGGCGTACATCAGCTAACAATGTTCTTGGCAAAGCTTCTTTAACTGCAACACTAATCCCACGATACAGTTGGACCTTAACTACGCCAAATGACCCCCGACCAATGTAACACTCATCAACTGATTGCATACTGGGCGGCAGAAGTAGATGTTTAGGATCAATTTCAAGAATTGTAGTATTAGTGATACCTGAACCACTACGAAATGACCTCGAATTCTTTTTTTGTGCCTGGAGATATTCCTTTCGCTGTTGTAATTCCCACTGCCACCGTTCCCAAAAAGACCTTGACATGCGCTTGTACTTCCAAACTTCAACCTGCGCCTTTGTCCTTAGCTCTCGCTCTTGCTTTAATTCTGAGTATAGCTTGTTTGGTGTAGCAATACTCGCATCCGATATTTCATGGCGGCCGAAAATTGATCGTTGACTCTACTGTAGTGTCAGACTCTCTGCGAGCTACTTCGCCGAGGGTTTGCACTTTAGTGCTTTTCATTGGGTCTGTCTGTCTGTCTGTTTGTCTGTTTGTCTGTTTGTCTGTTACTCTGTATCTCACTCCTCGAACGTCTGTTCGTCCCAGAAACGATACCATCTACCCAACGGGCGACGAAGGTCAGAAAATAAAGGCGGTTTTCTCTGAAAACGCTCCGTTGCAAAGCTAGAGCACGAAAAAGCCAATATGCAAATACGCAACGGACGGGATGGCTTACCGCGGTATGATCGATCCGCGTGCTCTGCGACCTCGGAGGCACCAGAAGATGCAACGCAGGGCGTGTATCGCCTCTCGCATGCTGTCTAGTATATAACCTCCTTGATTGCTTTCTGAGAATGCACCCCCATTTGAGACAAGATCAGTGCGCCAGCGACGAACAGTTTTCTCGTTCTTGGAGATCACTCTTGCTGTTAGTGCAGCAGCATTTGTCTCTGTGAAAGATAGTTCTTTCACTAAAACAAAACAAAGTAGCATGGCAAGAGATTTCCTGTCTTCATGGTCAAGTGCTTGAACCCAGCCTTCCACGAACGCCTCCATGGCCTCCAGAGGACTAACAACAGCTTCAGTGGTATCTACTGGAGGGCGTGAAGGCCCAGGCTCTTCTTGCAACACGGCGCTATCCGCAGCGCGAGCTTCATTCTCAGAAATCACACCTTCCGTGGCCGGTGAAACAGTGGCATCCGGGTCTACACGTGCTTGCTTCAGTATCTCCCTTCCTTTAGCTGCAGCCTCGAGGCTGTGTCGCTTCTTCTTCGACTTCGGTGGCATCACTGTGCGATCGAAACTCGGGTAACCAACTATCTTTGCGATATCGCGTAAAATAATTTTTTTTACCTCGCCCGTGCACGTGACGTCATAACGCGTAATAGAATGCGTAACCGATCAGTACAAATACAGGAATAGCCCGGTCGCGTTCAAAAAAACCCAAATGGCTCGCAAATCACAAAATATTTATACCATGTGAAAGCTCTCGCGGTGCTGATTCGAATGGTACCCAATACGCAAGCAAAAATTTAGCGGAAATGAATTTAATTGACCGCAAAATTTTGGACATCTATGGCTTGGTGCACTATAGTGTATAGTTAGCCCGCGTCAGACTGCGCGAGATGGCCAGAACTAAACCCAGCCCATCAATTAGTGATACAGCGCATGCGTTTACTCACGCGTGCGCGTCACAATGCGCCGATGGTTTGCACTTCAGTGCTTTTCATTCTACAATCAAATATAGTACACAGCTACTTTACATACAACTCAACCAGTTCCACTGCTATGTTGTCATATTGTATGCTGTCATAGATACATATTTTCAGTTCAAGGTCATCGTTAGTTGTCTAGTTGAGGGTTTTGGTGAAATATGGAGGATTGTGGAAAGAGCAACATGTACTGGTGGAGTGACAGTCTTCACCATCCCAGAGAGTGTCATTGGAGTGGAGTCTTAACACATTATGCGTTATTCCAGTACCCAGGAAGCACATACCCTGACTCACAGAAGTAATCTTCTCCAACAAATGGTATGATTGGTATAATACCACTAATGTCACATGGACAGTTGCTGGTGGGGTATTGTGTCGTATTCTCAAATGCTCCGTTAGCAAATGTCCAGATGTGTTGTCGAGGACTGCCATGCATTACAGCCACACCACTGACATAGGCACTGTCAATTGTAGTTTGTCCACCAATGGTATACCCATAAAAGGCATCAGGTACTCCCCACTGGTAGGCTCTGATCCTGCCACACACCTGACTGTATGGTCCTCCACTGACAGGGAAGAAGACTGAGTCACAAGTCTTCCATCCAGTACTAACTCTGCCACAAGTTCTCTTGGAATATCCAGTCATATTCCAGCCAGAGGGACAGCTGTTGTTGGGGTCTGTCATATCCAGGTAGACTGCACGTCTCCAGTTTGCAGTACCTCCACAGGAATAACGGACACTGTTATTAACGATCTGTCCTGTCATTCTCATTAGTTTAGTAGTAATTTTATAGTCATGTTCGTCAAGCTTGTCACATATCATGTTGGCTATGCTATTCAACCCTCTCTCAACACCACTGAAATCATCTCTCATTGATTCATTCAGAGAACCCAGTCTGGTGTAAAGTTTCTCAACCTCCTCTGTGAGATTATCAACCTTTTGGCTGAGGCTTGCCATGTCAGACTTCATATTCTTCATGTCTTTCTCAATAGTCTCCAAAGCTGGTCCTACAACTTCATGCACAGCTGCAGCAATCCTTATATACAACTGCAGCAAACACATCTTATTGCCATGCCAAGACCAGTATTATCTATTCCCTTACCATCACATTGAGACTGTCCTAGCTGTATGTTAGACAGTGTCACTAGACACAAGACCAGCAGATAAGACCAGTCCATCTCAGAAGGCGTTCAAGCTCCCTGCAATATATGCACCACTACAGCCAAGCTAACTATTATATGTAGAAAAAACACAAAATAACCCTGGCGTTACAATAATAGAGGTAAGCTAATGAACCTCATTAGGTTGCACTATACAATCATCCCATGCTGTAAACCACCCTCCATACCAGCTTGCATAAGTTGGGGAAGGTTAGCAGATACACAGAAACAACTACAGACGCCTTTGAACAACCTTATGCAGGTTTCTCTGGTTGGAAGACTTAATGTATAATACAATCATTAGGGAGAGCTGTATGAGTTTTCAGCCAACTGATGATGTGTGACAGTGCATTATCATGAGGGTTAGCAGTGAGAGAGGGTGGAGAAGGAGGAGGGAGGTTTAAATAGGTGAGACACTCTGTAATGGCGTGAGCAGCTTCTCTGTCAGACAGAGCCACTTCACTGAGTCTGTGTTCATGTCTCCTTATCTGACTGTTGGGAGAGAGGGAAGAGAGCGGGGAGTGAGGGTAATGAAGTAAGAGAGGTATTATACATAATGTATATAGAACATGTGGTTGTTAGGATAAAATGTACTAAAAGAGGAAGAAACAAAACAGGGAAGAGGTGTTCTATACCAGTGAGTGGAGGGAGCCATTCGACACAGGTTTCTGAGGACCAGAGCAGCTGTCACACGAATCACCTGTTTTTTCTTGTGACCTTCCTGCCAGGCCTGTTTCTTGGTGAGTACCGGTTTCTTTATCTCCTCCTTTGTTCCTTTCCCTCTCTCCCTCTCCCTCCTCCTTTCTCTCCCTCTCTCTTCCTCTCCACATTACTCTCTTTCAGTGGTACTGTCTTTAGATTCCCTGTAATGAGAGAGAAAAGGAAGGTTAGGTTTAAATGCAGACACTGTGTTTGTTGTATGTTCTTGAAAAGGCATTTAGACTGCTATCAATAGAATTACCATGAAAGAAACTAGAACTTTTTTCTTGGTTGTGCTGCATTGTTTGCACTGTACATGCCATAAAACCTACCGCCCCGGTTCTCAAGGCTGGGAACCCAGGGTCCTGCCTCTTTCGTTATGTTTATATGTTATTGTCTGTGTTTTTGTATGCTTGGGTATGTTATTGTCTGTGTTTTGTGTGCTTGGGTGGGGGAGGTTTTTCTTTTCCTCTAGTATGCTATAAACATGTTTTTTCATGCAGTTCACCTATAGAATAAATTTGGATCAACATTGTCTGACCTGAGTCAACGTAGGAGTGTTTCTGCATGGCGACCCTACACCAAAGTGTGTTTCGGATTTGCAGCCTGTGTGCCGCTTGTTCTTGTGTGGTGTGTGCGTGTGTGCTATATGTCCAGTGAAACAACAGCGGAACCTCCGAGTGGGGCCAATGATTTTGTCCCTTGTAGAGAGGTTGTCCTTGTCTGAAGTGCAAACCCTCGGCGCACTGTGACGCGCACGCGTAAGTAAACGCATGCGCCGTACCACTAATTGATGGGCTGGGTTTAGTTTTAGCTAACTACACTACTAGATAGCATGCGAGAGGCGATACACGCCCTGCGTTGCATCTTCTGGTGCCTCCGAAGTACGCAGATCACGCGGATCGATCCGACTGTGGTAAGCCGTTGTGTATTTGAATATTGGCTTTTTCGCGCTCTACCTTTGCAAGGGGGCATTTTCAGAGAAAACCGCCTTTATTTTCTGACCTTCGTCGCCCGTTGGGTGGATGGTATCGTTTCTGGGACGAACAGACGTTCGAGGAGTGAGATGTAGAGTAACAGACAAACAAACAGACAGACCCAATGAAAAGCACTAAAGTGCAAACCCTCGCACACTATATAGAAATGTGGAACCCATACACAAGTGTGGCACCACCACAATTGATGGTCTTCAAAAAGAACAGCATGTTATGCACTATTTCCATGGTCGGTTGAAAAAATGGCCAGCCCCATTTCTGTTTGAGGCCCAAAAAATATATAGGGTTGAAAAATGGCCAACCTTTCATCTCTCTATTAATTTTCGTATTACCTGTTTAGTGCAAAAAAAATCTAAGGTTGAAAAAAAAAACGGCCAGCCCTCCATCTCTCCAGACAGACGTCTACGGACGCAGTGCTATGCCGAACTGTACGCTGCCCTTTGAGAAACGTGGGTCAGTGGTAGATTTGTGGGTAAGGGGAGGAACCAGAGCTGTTCCCAGCCAATGCTCTGGACCACCTGACACTTTAGTGCGGGATCGGGATACGAACCGGGCACCTATGGTGTCAGTCCCCACGACTCTAACCACCTAGCCACTCGGGCTGGCCTGGAGAGGTGATGGAAAAACGTTCCATATATACCAACACTCCTATTACATCATTGTAAAAAAGGCGTACACACCCGGGACCGAACCGGGGACCTCACGATCAAGAGAGGGGGTGCTTATCCATCAGACCACCACCATTACTTGATGGGAACTGTGTAAATGAAAAGCACTAAAGTGCAAACCCTCGGCGAAGTAGCTCGCAGAGAGTCTGACACGGGCTAGCTACACGTAGATAGCACGCGAGAGTCGATACACGCCATTCGTTGTGACTTCTTGTGTCTTCAAAATAGACAGAGCAAGCGGACCCGGTCGAGCTAAATATAAGCGCATGCGCATTGTCCGCCAGCGATAAAATGGCGACTACCGGCATTAGCCATGCCATACAATGCTGGAAGCGCTCTAGCTCTGCAACGGATCATTTTCAGAGAAAACCCCACATATTTTCTGACCCTCGTCGCCCGTTGGGTAGATGGTATCGTTTCTGGGACGAACAGACACCCGAGAAGTGAGATTGAGAGTAACAGACAGACAAACCCAACTACAGTACCCTCGCTGCGCATGCGCGCCGAGGGTAAAGACTGTTCTTGTAGAGAGGTCGTCCCTATCTGATCAGGGTCCCTTATTGGACGTTCTACTGTATAGTGTGTTTTGTGTGCCCTACTGTGTTTGCCATTCTGATTCCCCCCCTCTCTCTCTCTCTCTCTCTCTCTCTCTCTCTCTCAGGGTATGGGTATCGACATAGACCCCACCACCCTCTTCAGTACCATGTTTGGAGGAGGAATGGGAGGATTCAGTTTCACTGGAGGTCATTGTGGGCGGAGCCACACATTCTCCTTTGGTGGTGGACCTGGAGAGTATACCTACATGTTTTAACTCTCTCTCTCTCTCTCTCCTTCATCAAGACCCACACCTCATTAACTCTCTCTCCTTCCTCTCCCTCTCCTTCATCAAGACCCACACCTCATTCTGAACTCTCACTCCCTCCCTCCCTCCCTCCTTATGCTCTCCTTGCTCTGCTGCTCCTTCAGGACCCACACCTCATTCTGAACTCTCCCTCCCTCTCACCTTCCTATCCCTCTCCTTCATCAATACCCACACCTAATTCTGAACTCTCACTCCCTCCCTCCCTCCTTTTGCTCTCCTTCCTCTGCTGCTCCTTCAAGACCCACACCTCATTCTGAACTCTCCCTCCCTCTCTCCTTATGCTCTCCTTCCTCTGCTGCTACTTCAAGACCCACACCTCATTCTGAACTCTCCCTCCCTCTCACCTTCCTCTGCTGCTCCTTCATGAAGACCCACACCTCATTCTGAACTCTCACTCCCTCTCTCCTTATGCTCTCCCTCCATGCTTTGACTATTGCACACCACAGTTCTTCAAAAATAGAACACCTCACCCTCTCTAATATCTTTCACTTGTCTTCTTGTGCCTTGTATCATTAGGGCCAGCAATTAAAATTATTGAATTTGGTATCCCAAACCTCTGATCCTTGGACCTTGGTGTGAGGTAGCATACCTCATGACCCTCTCTCCAAAAACACTCCACTATGACAACCCACTCCAAAAACACTCCACTCTGACAACACACTCCAAAAACACTACACTCTGACAACACACCCCATAAACACTCCACTCTGACAACACACTCCAAAAACACTTCTCTGACAACACACTCCACACTCCACTCCAACACTCACTCTGACAACACACTCCAACACTCACTCTGACAACACACTCCAAAAACACTCCACTCTGACAACACACTCCAAAAACACTCCACTCTGACAACACACTCCAAAAACACTCTCTCTGACAACACACTCCAACACTCACTCTGACAACACACTCCAACACTCACTCTGACAACACACTCCAAAAACACTCCACTCTGACAACACACTCCAAAAACACTCCACTCTGACAACACACTCCAAAAACACTTTCTCTGACAACACACTCCAACACTTACTCTGACAACACACTCCAACACTCACTCTGACAACACACTCCAACACTCACTCTGACAACACACTCCAACACTCACTCTGACAACACACTCCAAAAACACTCCACTCTGACAACACACTCCAAAAACACTCCACTCTGACAACACACTCCAAAAACACTTTCTCTGACAACACACTCCAACACTTACTCTGACAACACACTCCAACACTCACTCTGACAACACACTCCAACACTCCACTCTGACAACACACTCCAAAAACACTCCACTCTGACAACACACTCCAAAAACACTTTCTCTGACAACACACTCCAACACTCCACTCCAACACTCACTCTGACAACACACTCCAAAAACATTCACTCTGTCCAAAAACACTCCACTCTGACAACATACTCCAAAAACACTCACTCTGAAACACACTCCCACCCTCCTTTTGCTCTCCTTCCTCTGCTTCTCCTTCAAGACCCACACTTCATTCTTAACTCTCCCTCCCTCTCTCCTTCCTCTGCTTCTCCTTCAAGACCCACACCTCATTCTGAACTCTCCCTCCCTCTCTCCTTCCTCTGCTTCTCCTTCAAGACCCACACTTCATTCTTAACTCTCCCTCCCTCTCTCCTTCCTCTGCTGCCCCTTCATCAAGACCCACACCTCATTCCGAACTCTCCCTCCCTCTTCCTTCCTCTGCTGCCCCTTCATCAAGACCCACACCTCATTCCGAACTCTCACTCCCTCTCTCCTTATGCTCTCCCTCCATGTTTTGACTATTGCACACCACAGTTCTTCAAAAACAGAACACCTCACCCTCTCTAATGTCTTTCACTTGTCTTCTTTGTACCTTGTATCATTTGGGCCAACAATTATAATATTATTTATGGTTCCATAAGTATTGAATTTGGTATCCCAAACCTCTCATCCTTGGTGTGAGGTAACATACCTCTTGACCCTCTCTCGTCTCATTCTTCCACAATGGTTCTTCACCAAAACATCCTACTTCATTGTTCACCATGTAAGGTTTTTCTATCATCTTGGCTCACAATTACTAATAATGTACATAATATTTATTAATATTATGTCTTGTTCTTGCAATAAAACTTTGGTATAAAGTTTACAGAGAGAATGTTAACCATCACCATAATACTTTTCAAGGCAACCGACTGTCAAAGAAGCAGATCTACAGTAGTGTAGTTAGCCCGCGTCAGACTCTGTGCGAGCAGGCAAGAGGCCACAAGTAACAGCTAAAACTAACCCAGCCCATCAATTAGTGGTACGGCGCAGGAAAATGTGTGGTTAAATAAACAATGACATAATATCATAATAATTACACAATGGTTCGTTATCAAAAATTGTTCACCATGTAAGGTTTTTTCTATCATCTTGGCTCACAATTGCTAATAATGTTCTAATATGTCTTGTTCTTGCAATAAAATTTTGGTAAAGAGTTACAGAGAGAATGCAACGTTAACCATCGCCATAATTATACGTTTCAATGCAACAGACTGTCAAAAAGCAGAAAAGGGTGTGGTTAAACAACGACATAATAATATTATATGCAGACATTGCAACACATTAAATAAAAATATAACTGTAAATTGTGCACACACAGTTGTCATGGTGACGTAAAAACAAACAAGGTGGGCACTAATAAGGAACATGAACATCTCTCAAGTCATCCTCTTCTTCTTCTGCATCTTCAGGGAAGTCTTCTTCGCTGTCCAGCTGGGGAGGGAGAGGGAGGGAGAGGGAGAGGGAGAGGGAGGGAGAGGGAGGGAGAGGGAGGGAGAAATAGAAAGGGCTTCTAGGTAAAACTCTGAGAAATAACAAGAAGAACTTGTAGCGGACAAGGCTTTCATTTTGTTCGTGTATGTTTTATGTAGCCTAGAATTTTATCGGACAGTATAATTATTTAAATCATTACCTACAGTATTCACAATTCCAGAGGAAGAATCTTATATAGCTGCTACAATATCTGACGACAACACCTAATAATAATTATGTATGCCACCTCCCTAATGCAACTCCCAGTTAGAGTAAGGCATTTTTAAATACTCAAATCTGATTGGTGAACTAGGAGAAAGCTAGTCTACGTAGTTTCCTCTGTAGGATGAAGAGGAACACTAAGTAGAACAACGAATACTATGGAGGAACGCTATTGGATAGTGTTCACCCCCCAGGGCCTTTGCACATACGTATGTACACTTTGGAACCTTTGCATACGCCCCACTCTAAAATAGTTATACGATGAGTCATGGAACCATGCAATTTAGGAAGCCTCGGTAGTGGCTTCCTTGCTGAGCGAAGAGCACCACAACCCCAGGGCCTCGGCCTCTTGGTTATGACACGACGTCTGTATATAGTGTCTAGTTCACTCACTGCCTCCATCTCGGCGTGAGAGAAGACGAAGCGACGCAGGAACATGCGAATGGGAATGAGACCGACGATGGCCACGGGGTAGATCATTCCAGCTGGAGATAGCTTCAGACCCCACAGTAAACACACCAGCACCACCTGAGGACAGACATACATAGTGAAACCTCTGAATAAGGGATACTTCTGGGACATTGAAAGCGTCTTTAATGTAGAGATGTCCCTCATTCAGAGGTAGTATAATAATATGCTAATGTATTAGTATGGGGCAGAGCCAAGTGTCCCTTATAAAGAGGTGTCCTTTATTGACAGTACACCAGAATAAGGTGATGAAACAGAGAAAGGGAGGAAGAGGGAGGAGGTAAGTACGTATGTATAGTTCATGTGAAACTATGGTGTGTGCGTAGTGTATATATACAACTGACCTGAATGATGGTGTACATGTGTATTCGAATTGTCCTGACCTGCAAGTTTGAGAATGGGTGAGTGAAGTGAATCATACTTTGTGCAGGAACACAAAAGCACACAACAGTGTCAGAGAGTGTCGGGAATCACGCAATAGCGTCAGAGAGTGTCGGGAATCACGCAATAGCGTCAGAGTGTCAGGAATGACACAATAGCGTCAGAGAGTGTCGGGAATCACGCAATAGCGTCAGAGAGTGTCAGGAATGACACAATAGCGTCAGAGAGTGTCGGGAATCACACAATAGTGTCAGAATACAACACAACTCATATGAAACAGAATGTGACAGACCTTCCTGATGTAGAAGAGGTCAGGGTGGTGTTTGGGTGGAGTGAAGAGGAGCTGGATCCTCTTGGTGAGTTGGACTCCGCTGAGAGAGGAGTAGGTGAGGTAGAGGAAGACTCCCAGGGCCACCGGTATGGGGATCAGCCTCAGACCCTTGTAGGCCAGGGGAGTTAGCACTGGTGAAGAGGGAAGGGGGAATAATGAATGGAGGTCCACTATACTCAACTTAGCACTTTAACCATCGACCGTGCACCCAGAGCAATGGGTGGAGCCAATTAGAGGACATGATCATGCACCATGGAGAGCATTGAACAACATTAAAGAGAATGCTGCGTTGGTACATAAGGGCTAAAATTAATTTTAAATGGTGCTAGACAAAAGGGCCCAGAGAGAGAATGCCATATTTAGTAACGGTGTTCAACTTTAGCCCTTATATATTGCCATATTCCCATTAAGTAGGTAGGAATCAGCTCTTGTACAACCTAGCATTGAGATGGCTGGTAGTGCATGTAAGGTCTGATCTTCACTTCAAGCAGTTTACAGGAAAAACGGAACCCTGACCCTCTCTGTCCTGCCAAGAGGCCAGAAAGGGGTGAGACGTGGGCTTTGCTTTGGTTGTGTGGAGTTGCAGACATATACATATATCCAACCTGCTGCTCTAAATTGAAACTCACAGATGAGGAGGTGGACTACGACATTTGTCATCCTCTGCTCGTAGACTCTCAACAGTACAGGCTTCTCTCCCGGAGCATTGTGGGCTTTGAAAACACTCATTGCCTGCACGTGCTGCACCGAGCTGTGGGGGAGAGAGAGAGGAGTGGATTTAAGAAGTCACAATTTTACCAGAGTGCACTTCAGTAGAGAAATGTTTATATGTATCTTGCAGTGAGTTCAAGATGCCATCTCTGTTACGTTTAGAGCTTACTCTGCCGAATTCCATACGTCTTACTAAATTTTGTAAATTCAACACTCGTGAATTAGTAGCGTCATTACTCGACCCCAAGCATGAAATCAGGTGTGCGTCAATTAGAGTTCACTCCACGTGAAATCTATGTGCATAAAG